CACAAAAAAACTCCTTAAAGACATAACTCTTTGAAATCATTTGTTGTTTATACTTAGTAAATTTCTGTAGACAATATACGCAGCCAGGTGATTAATTTCTTCAACACTAGCGGCTGCTTATCCGGCCACAAAATATGTGATATGATACCTCAGTGACCAGTGACGCAGGCTTGACCAAGTGATGTCACATAACATTAATGTCATTGCGAGAGTTCTACGTTATTTACACTCAGTTTTCTAAGGGTTAAGAATAACACTGACCATGTAGAGAGTGGTGGAGTAGAGGTAATACATCGTAACCCAGCACCAACCGTCACCAGAAAACAGCTGACTACACACGCTACACGCAAACCTGAAAAAAACATCGCACAAATCCTTAGTTAACATATCTAATTATCTTAACCTTTAACTTGCACCTTGTTTTATCATAAATCTTTACTTTGTGACCTTGGCCAGTGCTTTATGAGACTGTTTTAATCATCATCTAACACTGATATCTTTACTTTGTGACCTGGGCCAGTGCTTTATGAGACTGTTTTAATCATCATCTAACACTGATATCTTTACTTTGTGACCTGGGCCAGTGCTTTATGAGACTGTTTTAATCATCATCTAACACTGATAACTTTACTTTGTGACCTGGGCCAGTGCTTTATGAGACTGTTTTAATCATCATCTAACGCTGATATCTTTACTTTGTGACCTGGGCCAGTGCTTTATGAGATTGTTTTAATCATCATCTAACACTGATATCTTTACTTTGTGACCTGGGCCAGTGCTTTTACGAGAATATGTTCTCATCATCTTCTAACACTAATTTATATAATGTAGGGTTAATAGTAAGGGGGGATAACTAAACCATTCTGTCCAATACCGTCAAAAAACAACGAAAAATACAGGGTCAGAGAGTCAGAGTAAATTATCACCTTTAACGTCTATCATCCAAGAAAAGAAAACTCCGCTGATTAAATACGAGATCGGCCCCCAGTTTGTTAAGAGACCAATATCAGCGTTGGACCAACCAAACGCTTCCGTGGCTGAATCAGCTATTGGTCCCCAAGTATTCCAGATTAAATTCTGACTTGCAGCAAAGAAACCAAACATCACTAAAACATACCATCTTCTCTTGTACACCTGAAAAATATTACACAAATCTGTATTTCGTTAATCTGGTTTAAACCATTTTTAAATTCACACATGTTGAAATCCTGCTAAACCGGCACAGATCAATGAAGAGAGGAGCAATTTCAAAGCCTCTAGGGTTTGATATCCACACAATTCATCATCGTTT